AACTATATATGGGAGCAAACTACTTTTGCAGAACAGGAAGGAGAAATTCTTTAGAATGGTCATCTGCGCAAATAATTTGGTGAGTGGGTTATGGAAGGAAACTCCTTTTGATATGGTTGGATGATTTTCATCTTCCAAGATGGGAGTGATTCTATATTTATGGGAGAAAGGGTTGGAAATAGTGGTATATATATAGCTGTGTAGGTCGATCCAATGCAGTACATTCTACCTTGCCACGAGCCCTTTTTATCCTGATACAGTTAAGTTGAGAGACATTCGCTAGGCCTCTATATCCTAAGAGTTGAGCTAACTGGTCTATAGCTATGTGTTTCTTCCTCTTGCCTGATGAGAGCCAAAGACGTGATAGGAAACAGTATCCTGTATCCACCTGTGCCAGACCTGTGTGATTTATAATAGACCCCAGGTTCTTATAGAGCTGAGGAAATACATTCAGATATGTGGAGTAACCAATGAGGGCTTGTTTACATTCCTGTACTAATGTGATTCTACTGAACCAATCAAATTATGAGAAACTTTGTGCTACTTAAAATTCAGAGTCAAACTAAAGTAGGCAAAATTTCCCAGTAACAATCAAGAAAAAGCACTATTAGAGTTACACTAGTGATAAAGAGAGTGAGTATAGTGCATTCGCGATAGCTCTTTATATCAATCAAACAAACTCTGTGATATTTCTCTATGAGAGGAGAGGTGGTAGAGCATCAGTTCTTCTTTCTTTCAGAACTTTCTTCTGTGGTTTTTATTTACTATGAAATAATGTTGTACATATGATGATTTATACATGATAAATGTATTATATACTATATATACTAATTAGCCCTGTTAAGGAAAACTATATGATACTCTCTTAATTTTTCCTAGAACAATTTTATATAGTAATATAGTTATTGGACCATTGCATATACTCTAACCTATCTCCAGTTTTGGAACTTCGGTGTGGTCTACGGATTCCTCCTCCTATCAAGGTCTCCCAATAATTCGTTACAGGCAAGTTTGACTATGCTTTTATGCATTCCACCAGTACAATGTTTACTCTCTTCAGGTCTTCAGCCTTCTTAACTTGACAACTTCCTTATTTGTCAGTAAGATCGGCGAAGTGTCTTCGTCAATCCAGTTTCTATTCTGATTAACCACGAGATCAGCCCTATCCTCCTCCACCTTATCATGGTAATGATAAGATACTGATCATCCACAACACCTATAGACTAGCCTGATCTGGTAAAGATCAGCTATAGGTAACACTGTGTTATAGAAAATCCTTCCATTTCAGGTATTAGTAAGATAGCCAGGATTGCATTCAATAACAAGTATTAACCTATTATCCAATGAAATCGTTTCATTGTGTATGGTATTTTTCACTTGATTCTTAGGTGGTATTGAACTTTGGATCTTGTGATTGTGACCTGGGAGCACTACCACTGTACTATAGACCCACAGGTCATATTACCGTAAACCACTGCATACAATATTTCCCCTAAAGTAATATTTCTCCTTAAATAATACCCGGTAGTATTCAAGAAAATTGTTACTCAATAAATGATTACTACCCGGGTATATTAAGCTAAAGTCAATAAAATTACAGTATGAATGGGATATATCAGATGATAATAAGACACTAAATATTCCACCATTTATACTACCCCCCTTCTAGTAGAATATTCCTCCAGGTATTAATCAATTTATCATGGAGTAAATTGATTAATACCCGGGGTATTGTATGCAGTGGTTTATGGTACTTTTTTTATTATTATATATATAATTTTTTAATTTATTTTTTTCTTTAAAATTGTTTAACTATTTTTAAATACTTTAAAATTAATAATAATATTAAAAAATCTAGTAAATTATTATAATTAATAAATTAGAATAAATTTAATTATTGTAATATAAAATATAAATATAACAATAATTTATATTATTTATTTATTTATTTTATTATATAATTATATAATTATGGCATGTTTCTATTGGGATATCAGAAATATCTGCAACATTATATGAACTATTTATATGATGATTAACTTATTTTTATATATTATTAGTAAAAGGATTATATTACTTAAAAAATATAAGAAGTTTATTAAACTAATTTGAATTAAACAAAAATAAGTTTAAACTAGATACTCTAAATCAAATTTAGGAAACAATATTATACTTTTTTAATAGATTAGTTAGGACTTTTATTTACTATAATTATTGTCTATAGTTTGGTACTATAGATTATTCTAGGAAATAATAAATTGCTAAATTATACTGTATATTGAAAAAAAACCCCCCAATTTAAAATCTTATAAAAAGTTCTTGAACTTCAGACTATCTGAAAATTTTAATTATTCCTAAGTATAAAAACTTTAAAAAGAACATTTAAAAAACTTATTTTTTTTACTAACATATGAATTTATTTATTACACCATTAACTCTTTCCACTAATCCTCTAACCATATATAAAAAAGACATTCATAAGAAGTTTTATACTTCTATATTAATATAGTCTTACTACTTTCTTTAAACCAACTTGAAGAAAACTTCAAGAGTCATCTCTATATTCTCTTCCTCTTGTTTTTACTTCTCTTTAAGCAAAAACTTGACTGCAAGTGATCAAAAAGTCAAATAACATCCTTCTTACCAATGACAAGAAAGTTCTAAAAGGAAGAAGAACTAATATACAGTTGTTTCACATTGTAGAGAAACAATACAGAGTGTTGTTTGTAATAAAAGACTTTTTTCTCACTCTCTTTGTCATTGTTTACATTCTAATAGTGTTTGTTTCTGGATTTTTTGAGGAATTTTGCCTATTTCAGTTTGACCCTGAATTTTGAGTAGTACAAAGTTTCTCACACTATGATTGGACAGAAATTTTATATTGGTAAAAGATATAAACAAGCTTCCATTGATCACTTTACATATTTGAATACATTTCCTTAGTATCCATAAAAACCTGAAGTTCACCATAAGTCATTAGATTTGGTGTAGATGGATATAGGATATGAAACCTCTTATGTCATGAATAATATGAAAAGAAAAGAGGCTGATTCAGGACATATTGGATAGACAATATTCTCTCATTCCTTTCTCCTCTAGCAACACAACAAAAGAAACATAAGGGTTAGTATCTTTTTGAGAGGTTTTTTATATACCCAGTCTCTCATTAGAACCATCTTTCTCATAAAATCATAATACCAAATCTATTTGGACAAGATTTGAACATACAGTATCTATATAAAAAAAATTTTTTTTAAATGCTTATAAAGTTAAGGCTCCACATGAGAAATCCTCAATATCAGTGATACTGGATAACTCAGGTGAATTCTTGGTATATTAACTCCTTTTATGAAGTAGTAATAAGTTGCCTGATGGATTTAGATCTTAGAGAGTATCATAATATAATAGAGAATTTAATATAGTATGAATTGTCACATCTCATTATTTTCAAAGTTTTGTTTTTGTAAGTAAAAAATCTACACTAGACAGTCATATAATTATCTTATCCTAGTTGGGTGGGATGTAAATAGTTAGCTCTTTATATTATTCATTGATCTGAAAATCCTTAAACAGTATGGATAATTATTTATTCCAGTTGTCTATAAACTTTCTCCTTACTTAAATAAAATCCTCATCACTGTAACACAGGGATGAGCTAGTATTTTAAAAAATAAATAAATAAATAATAATAATAATAATAATGATAATAAGATTTATTTATTATATCACTAATATTAATATTATATTATAGTAAAGTTAACTTGATTAAGATAAAAAGTCTTTATAAAAACTTTATTTAATTAGAATAAAAGCTTAAAAATCTCAACTTTTTTTTAAAAAAAATTTTTTATTACCTGAAGAACTCATTAAGAGATAGAAATACCATGTTTTATACTTTTATTTATATTTTGATTTATGACTGTCTTTTTTGAAAACTTGCTCAATTAAAGTATATCTTTTTTATAAATTATTTTTTTCAATAATTAATGAACATCAAAACATATAAGTATAATCAATAAAAGCTTATTTATATTTCAAAAACTAATATATTTTATATTAATCAATTATCTTTAATGAGAATTTATGTTATACAAAATTTAAAGTCAAATTGAGATAGACAAAATTTTTCAAAAACTATAAAAGTAAAAACTTTAAAAAGATTAAAACAGTTTAAAAATAAGAAATAAATCTTTAATTACAACAAGACCTCTATAAACCTCTTACTTCAAAGGTTAGAAAGATTTCCAGATACTTCACAATTAGGTTTTCTTTTTTTAAGAACTTTTTTGCTATTGATATAAAAAATATTACTTGATTTTTCTTGATTACTGGAAGTCAAGTTTTTGAATAAAAAGATTTGTAAATAAGAAAGAAAGTGTAAAGATGATTCTTTAAGTTATACTCCAAGTTGTTTTAATGAAAGGGTTAAAACTTTGCAAAAAAATATAAAAACTTCTTGCAAATATCTTTTTTGTATGTGATCAAAGAATTGGTAGAAAAAGTTCTGTTCGATCCACAATAATTGTGCTATATGCGTATAAGTTTCATGATTACGTAAGTAATTACTATAAATGGTATAGTGGATACTGGACAAATTGAACTATCGAGATAAACAGTATAAGGTAATTTGATCACTCGCACAATGCATACATTTGTCAATACGTGTATTTCTTGGTAGAAATAATTGTGCATTCTCGGCGGAAAAAATTCCGCTAGATCACGATTGGACGATTACCCATTTAAAGTACAGTATTTAAAGAACTCGATAAATAACTCATTCGATAAAAAAAAAACAAAAAACATCCGTAAATGACATAATTTACTAGATGAAATTACACATGAAACAGTAATTTTATAACATCTTTGGTGTAATGTTTAATAAAAGGGGTTCATACTTAACCATTCTTATTCGCATATTAAATTCAGAGGAATCAAACGAGGTCCATACTCGAAAGCTTGTCGGAACTGTCACGATGCCAAGAAAAAGTGCAGTGGCTGTAATGGTCCTCCGTGTCGACGGTGCATTAAAAAAAAAACTCACCAATTGCATCCGCTACCACAATAGTTCGCCTGTCACATTTAATCAAGGTATTGCTGTAAAATTATCTGTTCGACTTTTGCCTAACTACTCTAACATAAAATTTTCATCATATATAGACACTAGAACTTCGATGGGGTTTTTTATGCAGAATACTCAAAGCATTATTTCTGAGGAGGATAGACAAACTTTTACGACTTCGACTCAGCCAATTTCTACTAATGAGCAGATCCACAACGTTAAAGATTATTATGACTCTATCCGTTCTATGTCGACCGCCTCTGATGATATTGGGGTCTCTGGTCCAATAATTAATAATCAGACGGATTTTGACAGTGAAATAATAAGCGCTAATGTGAATCCTATGTCCCAACCACTTTTATGCAGTAGTCAGATCGCGTTTTTAGTCATACTACCGAATTTCCCATAGGCGCAGACTGATATTTTCAATTACCCAAGCTATCACTAAATTTAGTAAACCATATTTCTTCCCATATAGACTGAGATACACGCTGGAAATAGTTAGAAATCACATGTCTTCGCTGATACACATGGGTGGTCATATGCTGTACATTTTAATAATTCCATGATATATATATTTTACTTTTATTGACGTCCTATCTATTGAGAATAAACACGTGATATCAATACTGTATTTTATAATTTACGAATTTATATTATCTTCTAACAAAGATAACTTCACATTCCAAGTAATGAAACTGGTCAAAGATATAGGAATAACCTTTCAAAGTTGAAAATAGCAAATTACTTTTGAATGGAATAAGGAAATAGTTTGATTATAGAATATCTTATATAGAAAGGTTACACTGTCAATAAAAATAATAGTTTGATAAACAGTATATAAATCAGTTATTAATCAAGAAGCTAAAAAAATCAAAGGTTGGTGAATACTTCAACTCATATAGAATATGAATAAAAGTTCTATTCTAGAATGGTTCTTAACTATAATCAAGATTCTTTTAAAAAAAAGTTATATTAGTTTATAAAAACATGAGAAAAAAATTAGATAAAATAGAAACTAGAATATTCTACAAAAAACTTTAATAATAATAAATAACAAAAGGCACAAATCACTCTTTCTGCTGATTCTCTGACTACACACAAAAAAGATGTTTGTAAGAAGTTATTATACTTCCTTGTTAATAAAGTCTTAATACTTTCCTTAAAACAATTTGAAGTATAACTTCACGAGTCACTTCTACCCTTCTTCTATTGTTTACAAACCTTTTCACTCAAAAACTTGACTCCTAGTGATCAAGAAAAGTCAAACAATACCTTTGATACCAATGGCAAGAAAGTTCTCAAAGGAAGAAGAACTGACTGTAAAGTACCTGAAAGCCTACTTAACCTTTGAAATGAGAGATATATAGAAGTTTTTGATGACAAAAGGGCTTATTTTTCTTCTTCCAGTCACTTGTAGGCCTCTTAGAGCTATTGCTTTCATGGTTTTCTGAGAAATTTTGCCTACCTCAGTTTGACCCTAAATTTTTGATAGCACAAATCCTCACCAAAGGTGATTGGCTGATACGAAACATGTCAGTTTTTGGAATGTAAACAAGCTCCTATTGGTCACACTCACATGTCTCAATACATTATTGATAATGTAGGAAAGAAAGTTCTAGAAAAAGTGTTCCCTCCAATCATGTATATTCAATCTTCAGGAAACAATTATGATACTATAAAACAAGTGACAGGTACAAAAAGAAGATTCAACTCTCATCTCTTATTAAGTTCCTCAGGTGATGAAAAGGCTTTCTTGGATAAAAGCTAAGGTCTCTAAGCTTCTATCCTGGTCAAGCAAAGTTCTTGAAAAGATTTTTTTATTCCAGTCAGGCAAACTCTTCCATAATATGGCACTAGCCTTACTAGCAATAAGCAAATCTGTACATCATAAGAAGGATAAGTTCCTCAAATATTTTTCTTGAAATCACTTTCAGGAATAGCTAAGTTTTTCAAATGTTATGAAGCTTAGAGAATATTCCAATCAGGCAAACCCTCATTGAGAGGAAACTGTGAAATAGAGCAAGAACCTTTTGGAGAACTTTTATTTGTATTCTCTCTTTCCCTTTTTCCAATGCCAACTTTAGCAATTCATCATTTTTCGGAATAATCTATAGTGACAAACTGTTGGCAATGATCCTAATAGACTTAGAGGCACTATTGCCAAACTACTAGGAGAGTGAAATATTGTCCCCTAAATCTAACTTAGAGTATCTAGTTTAGACTTAGTTTTGTTTAGTCTGAA